GGAGCCGGGAGCTCAATCCAGGTCTCCCAGGTGGGTGGCAGGAACCCAATCTCTTGCGCCATCAATGCTGCCACCCAGGGTCTGCATTGGCAGAGAGCTGGAGTCAGGGGCCAGAGCTGGGTTTCAGCTTCAGGATACCTCACTGTGGGATGCCACCGGGTTACCCAGGGTCTTAGCCGAGAGGGCAAATGCCCACCCCAAGGACTCCATCTTGATCTCTGCTGGGTCCCCATTAGCTGACGTTATTTACACCATGCTAAAGGCCTTTCATAAATATTGGTGGATTGATGGGTGCCAGGCACTTGTAGGAAGACGGTCACTGTCCCTTCAGCCGCTCTCAGGCAAGGACGGAAACAAGTCTGCTGTTCATGGTTGATGCAACAGATAGTACAGGAAACAGATGACACTGACGCTCAGAGCACTGTCAAAGCAGACAGATAGAAGTCCTCCAGGAAGCGAGGGCAGACACGACAGCGAGAAGGACATTGCGCTCGCCCACGCCGCTTCCGCCACCTACGGCGGCTGACCCATCTCGGGCCCTATCTTGGTCAATCCCGGCTGTGATGTTTGACTGCGGCTTCTGTGCCACAAAACAAGGTGCAAGGTGCTGACCAACCAATCAGAGCTCCTCTCACACTGCCCCGCCCCGTCTCAGGTTCCCAGGAAGTGCAGGAATGTGGCCGTCCAGGAGCACCACCTGCCAGCCCACCAGCCCCTCAGGAGAAGCTCCACCGCCACCCACCACAGGGCCTCTCACCTCCTGCTACCCGCTACCCACCACAAGCGTTCATACTTCCACCTTTTCAACAGTCCTTGGGCATCTATTGCGAGTAGGAGGGGACTTCAAAAAGTTTGTGGAAAATGTGAACTATGAAAAAAATTATGCATATATTTAAGAACTGTTTGCATCAAAATAAACTTTTAATTCTATTTTTTCTGTGAAGGTTTTGAAGTCCCCTCCCCTATGTCAAGCCCTGTCCCACAAGGCAGAGAACCAGGTCTTCAACTGAAGACCTAAGTAAACAGATGGATCCACTTATTCGGTGAGCATTTGAGTGCCATTTGTATGTCAGACACTGCTCCAGGTCCTAGTGCTATGGGAGCAAATGGGGATAGGCAGGCATTGGGGCCGGCACTTTGGCGCAGTGGGTTAACGCCCTGGCCTGGAGCACCGGCATCCCATATGGGTGCTGGTTCGAGACCCAGCTGCTCCACTTCCGATTCAGCTCTCTGCTATGGCCTGGGAAAGCATTAGAAGATGGCCCAGCTCCGGCCCTTGCAGCCAACTGGGCAGTGAACCATCGGAAGGAAGACCTCTCTCTCTCTCTCTCTCTCTCTCTCTCTCTCTGCCTCTCCTCTCTATGACTTTCATATAAATAAATCTTAAAAAAAAATAGGCAGGCATTTAGTCGAGCAGGTGAGATGTGGGCATCTGGATGCCAGCTTCCTGCTAATGCACACCCTGGGAGGCTGCAGGTGATGGCTCAAGTGTCTGGGTCTCTGCCCCCAACAAGGGAGACCTGGATATAGAGTTCATGGCTCCTGGCCTCAGCCCAGCCTCTGCCACTGCAAGCATTTGGGGAGGGAGCTCCCTCCACCTCCCTCTCCAATAAATATAATTTAAAATGTCTCTCATGAAGTTTGCATCATTGTGGGCATGTTGGGAATGGAGGGGTTAGGCAATAAGCTAAATAAATTTTATATTAGATGATGTGTGCTACTAAAATAGAATTCAGGAGCTGGCACTGTGGCATAGCAGGTAAAGCTGATGCCTACAGTGTTGGCATCCCATATGGGCACTGATTCGAGTGCTGGTTGCTCTACTGCTGATCCAGCTCCCTGCTAATGTGCCTGGGAAAGCAGTAGAAGATGGCCCAAGTCCTTGGGTCCCTGCACCCATGTGGGAGTCCCAGAAGAAGCTCCTGGCTCTTGGCTTGGGATTGGCCCAGCTCCAGCTGTTGCGACCACTAAGGGAGTGAACCAGATGATGGGAGACCTTTCTCTGTCTCTCTCTTTCTCTGTAACTCTACCTCTCAAATAGATAATAAATCTTAAACAATAAATAAATAAAAGGCAACTCTAGGAGTCTCCTGAGGAGGTGACCTTTGGGGGGAAACCTGAAGGAGACAGAGAGCCAGCTATGCAGGAAACACGGCCCGAGCAAACAGAATAGTGGAGACAAAGGGCCCAGAGGGAGGGTGCTTGGTGTTTCCCAGGGCCAGCGTGGCTGGGGTGCAGCAGGCCAGGGGACAAGACAAGGGGTGCAGGGCGACAGCCCTCTGTAGGTTGGTGTCTGTGCATGGGAGGTTCGGCTCTGGCATATTAAACAGCCTAGGAAATTAGAGACGCTCCCTGCAGGGCAGAGGGCAGATCTATTTGCTGTCCAACGTGATAATCATGTCCCCTTTCAGGGGGCAGGTTTGCGTGCAGCCCACCATGAAGCTGGGGTCTCCTGAGGTCGGGGTTCCTTGACTGCAATGCACAGCATCCGCTTGGATTGGCCTCTCTGCTGCCCCTATGGGACTTAGGGACAAGGGAACTGAGGACTACGACATTCACATTGCTTGTTGTGCTATGAGTAATAAAGTCCTTTGTCTCTGAGTTGGGAGTCTCATATTTTCCGCCAGTATCCACAAAACTGGCAGGCTCATGTGCTAGTTCTAAGTAGGGTACGCATCTAAGATCCTTCACAATTCTGACAGAGGGGTAAGACTGGACGTGAAGAATGGATGAATGAATGTAGGAATGAATGAAACGGGATTCCTTAAACACAGAACATGAGCAGTGAATGGTCTCCTGGGCAGGTGCACACACATAGCTGGTCACAGCTTGGGGCAAAATAGGCCCAAGGACTGACCGCGGAGGCAGTTGTATGTGGGCCGGCATGGCGGCACTGTGACACCCGCATCCTGTATGGACACTGGTTCGAGTCCCGGCTGCTCCACTTCCAATCCAGTTCCCTGCTAATGCATCTGGGAAAGCAGTGGAAGATGGCCCAAGTGCTTGGGCCCCTGCCATCCATGCAGAAGAACCTGGAAGAAGTTCCTGGCTCCTGGCTTTGGCCTGGCCCAGCCCCAGCCCTTGTGGCCATTTGGGGAGTGAACTGGTGGATGGAAGACTTTCTCTAACTGTGACTTTCAACTAAATGGATGCAGTGGAAAGAAACGGGAGGGAGCCTGCTGGCAGCTGTATCTGCTAGGCGATGCTGTTCAGAAAACTTCCCAGCTAGGGGAGGGAAATGAAGGAAGAGGATTTAGGGGAGGAGCTGAGGAAGACTGGCTGGGACCAGCGTCTGGGGAAGAAAGCTCCAGATCCGCTGCACCCCTGCAGGCCACCCCTGCACCCCTCCCCACATCCCTGGCCTAGCATCCGCTAGCCACCGCCCAGGCCTCCTGCAGCGCCAGACCTGCAGGACAGAACCCCGGGAAGAAAGACAGGGATCTGTTTCCCTCCCCCCTCCCCTCTGTGACAGGACAAAGGGGCGGGATCTGCAGAGCCCTTGCACCTGCCTCTCTCTCCTCCCACCACGGAGGCCCCAGGGCCTGGGTGCAGACCCCTGCCACACCACAGGCCTGGTTTAGGGGTTCAGAGCCTGTGATTAGTGGGCTGCCGGTCGCGAGTGGGGGAGGGGGAGAAGTGAGAAGGCGGAGCTCCAAGATGGGAGGGGTCTCCTTCAACCCTCAGCCCCCAATCCACGAGGCCCCTGAGGGCTCTCTCAGGCTCCCCAACCCCAGGGACTGGTGAGTGAGGACCCCGTCTTCCTGGCGGGCTGTGGGGACGGACAGGCCTGCTTCCTCAGCTGTTCCGTCCCCGACTGGGAAGGAAGCACCTGGATTCGAGGGGGTGGGTATTGTTCCCCGGGGCCGGGCTAGGGTCACTGTCGGCCGGCCGGCATGGAGGTAAGCGGAGGCCACGGCAGCAGGGCAGGGCGCTCCCCGCCTCCGCATCACCAGCGCCGCCCAGGCGGGTCGCTGGAAACCCTCTCATTCAGGGGACCTCGCAGGGTCCTCACGGGAGCCAAACGAGAGGAAACTGGGAAACTGCTTGGAGCTGAAAGAAAAGACGCCACATGCCCCCAGCCCTGACCGCTGCGCCACGCCCTCTGCGCTGGACCGGCCCCGCACGCACCCCGCGCAGGTCCTGGGTTCAGCACCCACCTTCTCTCTGTGGCTTCCCGCACTTGGCTCCCCTCTGCAGGACCCTGCCTCCCCTGCAGCCTCAGCTCAGGGGCCGCCATCCCCTGCGCCCACCCTGGTCCCACGCCCACAGGCCTCTCTCCCCAACTCCCGTGCACACGGCTTCCCCTGGCGTCTCTCCCCCTCTCTGTGTCAGTCCCCTGCCGCTGTATCTCCACTTCCGGAATGAGCTCCTCCCAGCCGGGAGCCCAGGCTCTGGTCGGACTCTGGTCAGAGGAGCCGCACCTGGGGAAGAGGCTGGATTCAGGAGTGTGGGGGAGAATCGGCCAGACCAGGTGACAGACAGATGGACAGGACACTGATTAGTCTTGCTCCCCCCAAGACCTTCTGTTCAGTCTTTGGAGAGTTGCTGCATCTCCCCAAGCCTCAGTCTTCCGGCTTAACAATGGGCTCATTACCAGCTCTCTCTGGTGTCCTTTACAGCAGCTGCTCTGCCCTCTTGTGCGTGGGTTTCAATGCTTTCTGGCCCCCACATCATCTATCTTTTAATTCCACTTTCCCCGAAGTTCTTGCAGCCCCCTTGAATTATCAGTCCCATCACCGTCAGCAGGTGCAAGATCTGAGAAGATACGGGAAGAGGGTCCCGCATCGTCTCATCTGAAGAAAATGGGCAGGACGGTCTAACCTCGGCAGACGGTCCAACAGCCACCCTGGGGTGACCCTTGTCAGGATGGCCGGCCCCACAGCCCACCAAGTCTTGGATTCCTAAGAGCCAGGGGGTCCTTGGTGCCCCTCCCCCAGGGTTTCCCCTCCCAGCCCCTCCATCCGCTCGGCTCAGCCCTGTCTCTCCCAGCCAGCACCCACCTCGGCTTGGCTGCAGCTGCTCAGCTCCCAAGTCCTGCAGCGATTAGCTCCCTCGAGGACCTGCTCGGCGAGGCCACCGGCCCCCAGGGACACAGGGTGGCTTTGGTCTCCACTCCAGCCTCCAGCTCTGCAGAGGACTCGGCCGAGCACCACTCGGGCGAGCTCTGTCCCTCCTCTTCCTTCCCCTTCCCCAAGGCCCTCGAAGCTCCTCCCAGACACATCCTGCCGCGAGGCCCTTTCTACAGAAGAGTCTGCGGTCACTACCGGGTCACCGGCGCTTCTGTATTCTCATCTGGTGCAGCGGGAGGGAGGGGGCACTGCCTCGGGACCCCTCCCCCTCTGGTGCTGCATCTGGCCAGTGATGCAGGAGCTTGCAACTCACCAAGTCCCAGGCAAGTTCATTATCCACACCTCCCCCCAAGCCTGCTTCTCTCTCTCTCCTCTCGGAACAGAAACCTGGGTGTCGTCTGAACCCCACGCTCTTCTTCACTCAGTGCATCTGAGCTGCACCAAGTCCTGCCACGATGTCGCGAGCATCCATGGCATCCACCCTTCAGGGTGTCACCGCTTCACCCAGGCCACCGTGATCCATTTCTTAACTTCACAGGTGGAGAGAAAGAAGGGTGGGGAAGAGAAAGACCAAGAAGAAAGACCTCCCATTGTTGCTGGTTTACTCCCCAAATGCCTGCAACATCTGAGGCTGGGCCAGGTCTCCCATGTGTGTGTCAGGGACCCAGCTGCATGAACCATCACCGGCTGCCTCCCAGGTCTGCCTGGATGGGAAGCTGGAAGGCAGAGTGGAGCAGAGACTTGAACACAAGGCACTGCAATGTGGGACATGGGCATCCCAAGCAGTGGCTTTCGCTGCCAAGCCACTCACCCCTCGCCAGGATCTTTCTCCTGAAATGCCACCTCCCTCTATTCCTGCCTCCACTGCACAGCCAAAGCTCTTTTCTGACAGTGAAATGCAAATCTGATCCCCTCACAGCCCTCCCCCGCTGCTGCAACCTTCAATGGCTCCCTATTACTTTCAAGAGAAGGGCCACACTCCCCACTGTAACTTGGGAGACCTTTCTTGATCCTGAACCTTCGTAATCTCCAACCCCCTACATTTTCCCCTTCGTTAGGGCCCCTCCTCAATGAGCTAGTCTGTGGGATTCTCTTCCCAGTCCTCCTGGCTCATCCATCATCATCCATTTAGCAGAGAAGATGGGGGGGGGCAATAAAGGGTGGAAGGAAATCTAGGGGAGGAGGAGATTGAGAGCTAAGGAGGAGGCAATGGTATCAAAGATTGTGGCACGATGCAGAGAACCACAAAGCACCTGCCCACCTCGAAGTCAGGAGAGAGCAGTACTGGGGGAGGCAGGTCAACTGCAAGATGACAGGGAGGCTGGGTTGTCATCCTCTTTGCTTTTTTCACATTTTGAAGTCCAGGATTATCTGGAGGATTCTCTAACACCTTTCTGCATCTTTGAAATCCCCCCCAGACTTGATGTTCTCACCCTATGGGTAGATGGCTCTGAAGAGAGACAGATGGCCGCCAGCCATGTCTGAGCCAGCGCCTTGCTTCAGTTCTGTCTGGAACCCTGATGCCTCGTCTGCCCACTATGTGACCCGAACACACTCCACCCCTGTTGAATGAAGCCTGTTTGCATTGGGTTTCTGCCACCTGCAACCGAATGAGCCTTGGGTCCATGAAGTCACCGCACTTTTTATTTTTTTTCTGCAAGGGCTTGACTGTGTTCTGTTCCGGCCCCTCATTCTGCAGAGGAAACCATTTCAGGTTAAAAGACCAGAAAAGACCATCACTAGCTCCACGTTCCACCTTGCCACTTTGAGTTCTTAGGTACCACATCTGTCTACCCTCACCTCCCCGACCTGGATCAGTTCAGGCCAGCCGGGGCTAGGTCTCACTCTGTAGGATGAGAGCATTTTAAGAGAAAGCTCGGCTCCTTAAATAAAGTGAATGAACGAATGACTGAGAGAACGCATGAACGAGATGATTCAGCCTGAGGGAGGATAAAGGAGCAAGGCTGAGCCCCTGCGGGTTCAAGGCTCAGCAGCTGCAGGACATGTGGCCTCCATAGCAGCCCCTCTGCTTATCAGTGTCACTGTCACTGCATCTGAGCTGAGGCTGGCCTCCTGGGGCTGCAAGAGCACTGGGTGTGGCATCCACAGTGTAGTCTAGAATGACCCGGCTGTCCCTTGCCAGGAGGGGCTGTGGAGCCTTCCTTTTGAGGACTCACCGCTGCCAGCCAGCCCGGAGCAAAGGACAGAGAGAGGAGGAGGTGGAGACAGGAAGGACCAAGGCAGCGAACCTGCCCTCCGTGCCCTGCCCCTGCCGTCTCCAAGGCCAGAGGATGCTGCCCCTTTCACCAAGCCCAGTGACTTCCTCTCCCGGCACTGCTGCTCCCAGGGTTTGTGTAATCTGGGTTTTCCAGCCTCCTAGGGACAGCCCCCTCTCTCCCCAGCCAGGCAGAGGCAGGAGTCCGGCAGCCTCAGACATGAGAAAGCTGGGGTGCCTTGCACTTGTTGTCCTAGGTCAAGATGACCTGGTCCACTTGCAGGACCAATGCTGCCTTTGAGTGACAGAGGCCAGATGCAAAAGCAGAAGGCTCATTGCCTGTCATCACTCCTGCTCTGCCTCCTCCTCCCTCTGCCAAAGGAGCCCCTCCCCGACTCCCCGTTACCCCACCCCCCGGGGGGGCAGGGCTGTGGCTGTTTCTCACCTTTGTCTACTGCACCCCACACAACTCACCTGGTTTTCTGTAGAGGATCAGTTCCCTTCCACCTCATTCTTTCCAGGAGAACCCTCCCAGCTCTTTGAGGCACGAAAATCTTCTCTCATCTATTTTCCTACCCATGACACAGCAGCCGAGGGCTTTCATGGAAAAGAAATCCTCTTACAATGGTGATCAAAGCCACAGATGGAGGGGGACACGGGCTGGCATTGTGAGCTCTGCAGGACAGGGTCCCAGAGTCAGGCAAGAGTGATTCGCTTGGTTACAGGAAACCCAGGGCTCCCTGCACCTGGGCCCAGCTCCGCCAGCTGTGGGTGCTACCTCTGAAATCATCAGCATCAGACACAGAACTCATCATTCTAAGTTTTCTTTTCCTTTCCTTTCCTTTCCTTCCCTTTCCCCTTTCCCCTTTCCTTTCCCCTTTCCTTTCCCCTTTCCTTCCCTTTCCCTTTCTTTCTTTCTTTCTTTCTTTCTTTCTTTCTTTCTTTCTTTCTTTCTTTCTTTCTTTCTTTCTTTCTTTCTTTTTAAATTTATTTATCTGAGAGGTAGGGTTAGAGAGAGAGAGATGGAAAGAGAGAGAAGGGTTTTCCATCTGCTGGTTCACTCCCCAAATGGCCCCCCCAAATGGCCCCAACAGCTGGAGCTGCACCCATCAGAAGCCAGGAGCTTCTGCCGGGTCTCCTAGGTGGTTACAGGGGCCCAAGGACTTGGGCCATCTTCTACTGCTTCCCCAGGCCATAGCAGAGAGCTGGACTGGAAGTGGAACAGCTGGGACTCGAACCGGCGCCCATATGGGATGCCGGCACTGCAGGTGGAGGAGTAACTTTTTATGCCACAGCACTGGCCCCATCTCTTGGTTTTCCAAGGAAACAACTCATAATCACTGGTATGCAATACAGACTTTATTCACGATTCTATTGGAAGGATGAAGGGAATGCACACAACCCATCTCTTTTTAATTAATGTGTTTATCTGAGAGGCAGAGAGATAGACAGAGAGGTCTTCTGTCCACTGGTTCACGCTTCAAATGCCTTCAACGGCACCTGGCTGGGGCCAGGAGCTCAATCCAGATCTCTCGTGTGAGTAGCAGGAACCCAACTACCCGAGCCATCACCTGCTGCCTTCCAGGGTGTGCAAGCCATGGCAGGAAGCTGCAGTCAAGTGCAGAGGTGGGACTCGAACCCAGGCCCTCTGACGTAGGACAGGGCCACCGTGAAGGTCTTTTATCCACCAGACACCCACCCCATATGGCACACTTTTAGAATATTTGTATTGTAACACAGATATGGATATTCCTATTGTCCAGACAGATGCCCCTCCTCCGTGCCATGCCATTGGCCTGGATGGCCTGGGACAGGGTGGGGCTTCATTCTCCTCCCCAAGTGACCCTGACTCACCTGCTCCTGGCTCCTCCCTCCCAGATTTTTCCAGACAGGTCCACGTTCCCTCTGAAGTGCATTCAGAGCCCTTCAGTTCCCATGTAACCAACCCCAAACTCACTACCACCACCCGAAATCCCGATGGCGCTCACATTGGTAGGAAAGTTGGTAAAAAGAACGTGGGGCTGGCGCTGTGGCGTAGCAGGTAGGGCAGCCGCCTGCAGTGCTGGCATACCATATGGGTGCCCGTTCAAGTCCCAGCTGCTCCACTTCCGATCCAACTCTCTGCTATGTCCTGGGATAGCAGTAGAGGATGGCCCAAGTCCTTGGGCTCTGCACCCGCGTGGGAGACCAGGAAGAAGCTCCTGGATCCCTGCTTCAGATCGGTGCAACTCCAGCCACTGCGGCCATTTGGGGAGTGAACCAGCAGATGGAAGACCTCTCCTCTGCCTCTGCCTCTCTGTGACTCTGCTTTTCAAATAAATAAATGGATCTTAAAAAAAAAAAAGGCAGAACATAGCTGTTACCTAGCGACATTTTGCCACAATCGCCGCTGGAGTTGGGTCTGATTATTGGGATGGGCTCATACTCCTAGTGGAGGTGGGACTTGAACCCAGGACCACTCCACCCGGGGACTTTGCCAGAACCCGCCTCTGGCTCCCAACTGCAGGCTTCAGCCGGTGAAGACCCTGGGAGGCAGCAGTGATGGCTCAAGTAATTGGGTTCCCACCGCCCACACGGGAGACCTGGGTTGAGTTCCCAGCTCCAAGCTTTGTTGTTCAGTGAACTTTGGGGGAGTGCACCAGTGAATGAGCTGGGTGGGGACTCTCTCTAGCTCTCAAATAAATACAAATTTGAAAAGAGAGAGAATCACCCTTCCCTCCCTCTTCCTAATTTCCTTGCCCACCTCCCACCGTGATTAGCACCACTGGCAGGTGTGAGCTTCCATCCCACGAACTCTTCTTTGGCTTGCTTCCTTTACTCAGAGGTCTTCGTGTAACTGCACACAAGCGCTAGCCACATCCTTCTCTCAAATTAAAATGCACCATTTTTTTTCGGACTTGGAACACAG